TTTTTCCTGAATCTAGTGATGAAGGAGATTTGTTTTTGTCTGCTAAGCAAGTGAAGGAATCGGTGCAAGATGGTGCTAAGGTGCTTATGTTGTTGGCAACTTTGAGTATTGGTGAAAGTGGAGCAATTGATGCTTTACCAATTGTCCGTGATTTTCTGGAAGTTTTTCCTGAAGAGATAAGAGACTTACCACCGGAACGAGAGGTGGAGTTTACGATCGATTTGATTCCTGGAACTAGTCTGATATCGATGGCTCCGTATCGTATGTCTGCATCAGAACTGAAAGAGTTGAAGAGTCAACTTGAATATTTACTTGATAAAAGGTTTATTCGTCTGAGTGTGTCGTCGTGGGGTGCACCAGTGTTGTTGGTTAAGAAGAAAGAAGGTTCTATGAGACTTTGTGTGGATTATAGGCAATTGAACAAGATGACTATCAAGAATAAGTATCCACTTCCGAGGATTGATGATTTGATGGATCAGTTGGTTGGTGCAAGCGTGTTTAGTAAGATAGATCTGAGGTCTGGGTATCATCAGATTCGTGTGAAGGTTGAGGATATTCCGAAGACTGCCTTTAGAACAAGGTATGAACATTATGAGTATTCTGTAATGCCATTTGGTGTGACTAATGCAACAGGTGTATTTATGGAGTACATGAACAGGATTTTCCATCCTTATTTGGACAAGTTTGTGGTTGTGTTCATTGATGACATTTTGGTTTATTCGAAGAGCGGAGAAGAGCATGTCGAGCATCTGAGGATTGTGTTATCTGTGTTGAAAGAGAAGCAGCTGTATGCGAAACTTTCTAAGTGTGAATTTTGGTTGAAGGAAGTAAGTTTCCTTGGTCATGTGATTTCGAGTAGAGGGATTGCGGTTGATCCGTCGAAGGTTGAAGCGGTATCGCAGTGGGAGACTCCGAAGTCAGTTTTTGAGATTCGAAGTTTTCTTGGATTAACCGGTTATTATCGGAAATTTATTGAGGGATTTGCTAAGTTATCCTTGCCACCTTATTCTACCAAATAGAACAAATCAGTTGAATCCAATATTTCACTTAAATCATATAAACCAATTAACTAGTACCATTAATCAGTTATTGAAAATTGGGCTGTTACAAAAAACATGTTTAAATACATATAGAAAAAGTACAATATGTGTTCCATATAGGTTTGATCATGTTGGTCTAGCTTGCAATATGGTGGAGTATCTCAAAAGTAGCTAAATACATGGAAAAAAAATGCACTTTTGCATATTCTGAGTCTTTGAATCGACTCAAAGAATGTTTCGGTCGACTCATACATAAGTTATTTTGCATGGTCTACTCTCAGGAGTGCTCACGTCGACTCTCAGGTCGACTCATACTGTGTTCATTTCTGTCTGTCTAAATTTTTATCCTTTGCGTCGATGCATGACCTGTTCCGGTCGATGCAAAGTGCTGTTTTCTGCATAACCTGAAATTCGGGAGAGTTCAGGTCGACCCTTCCCTTTCTATAGGTCGACAACTCATGCGTTTTTCACCAAAATTCTGTTATGTGAAACTGTTAAAGTGTTTGTTAAGTTGGTTAATTATTTTTTGACTTACATAAATATTGAGTTAGCTCTCTCTTCATAGCACAACAAGAAAAGTGAAAATATACAATGATTTTGTTTTCATCATCTTCATCCTCTTTCTTGCATTTTCTTAACAACTACACATAATCATTTGTGTTGTACATTCTGCATTATTGAGGTGATAACGTCCAAACCATTAGGGTTTTGTCCTCAAAAAATCTTGGATTTTAGGGGTTTTTGCACAAATCGGTCCATCACAGATTCATCCGAGCGAAGGTAATCGAAGAATGAGAAGTTCTGTCGATTTAGTAGCGATAATAGGATGACTGTGACAAGAATATCTGGGTTTGAAGCATTGGTGTTTGAAATCAGCCGGACAAGATTTGAAGACCAGAAAGTTGTTCAAAGGGTGTGTCGTAATCGGAGGTTTATTCATCACGTTCGAAGGACTTGATTCGGCTTGAATCAAGGGAAGAGAATGAATAGGCTCTGCATCAACAACTGGGTTTGATTGTTTGAATTCTATTGCTTCTCTCGTAAACATTTGCAAACATGTTATATATATATACATGTCTCAATTCTATTTCTAAAATTGAGGGCAGACGTACCCCGAGCGAGGACGGCGGGAGAACTGCCTCAACAAATTGTTGTTCTCTCTTTATCTTTTCAATTGCTTAATTTTTGAGTTTGTGTGCAAACAATTTAGTTGATCAAAATTCTGATGTGTGTAGTGCTGAACCATTTTTAGAAACCTTATTACAATCCTTGACTGTAATTGAATACTATATCACTACACTCACATATTAAAATTCACTTGTGGTGCCTCACACCAAGTGTTCGACTGATTGTGTGAACTCAAACAGTTGTGCTGTCTTTTCTATTTGGTTATACTTTACACGCATTGGAAACAGTTCAACCTTATAGTGAATAAGAATTAGTTGACGTGTGTTCAAATTAGTCATTCTTAATCTCGTTCTTATCGGATTCCATAGGCTTTGCGTATATCCGGTCTTTTCGGTAAAGGTTCGTTTAGACGAATATAGTTCATCGGCCGCTTCCGTCTAAAACTTTTTTAAAAACCAAATATTGGTAAGCACCGACTCTGTTTATAATAAGTGATATATTCAAGCCCCCTTCTAGACTTGTGCCGTCGTCTGACAATATATATATATATATATATATATATATATATATATATATATATATATATATATATATATATATATATATATATTTATGTAATAACATGAGAATGAATCTGAACCATTAAACTTTAAAATAAATGGTGGAGATTATGTGTCATTTTTTTCTCTCTCCTCTGTCATTTATTTTAATAGTGGAGGAGAGAGAGAAAAAACCACAAATTTCTATGCACGCGAAAGTATACCCACAAAAAAAAGAAAAAAAAAAGCAAAAACAAAACTCACAAATTCATTATTCAACTTCTAATCTTTACAAAAACAAAATTATAAACTCTCTCATTAAATTGCAACTGTAAGGAGAAAATTGCAAACTCTTAAAACTGCAATTTAGAACGAAAAAATTGCAAACCCCTCTCTCAATCACAATTTTTGAACGGAAAAATTATAAACCCTATCTCAACTACAATTTTTGAACGATAAAATTGCAAATTCTCTCAAGAAACTACTTTTGAACAAAAAAAATAGAAAACCATCTCTAAATACACAACTACCCAAATCTCCAATACACACAAAAGACTACATTTTGTTGTTGTGTAAAAGGTGTATCGAAATGCCCAAAAAAAGTATCAATGACGGTACATGTGTGTAGACAAAATAGTTTCCACTTGAGGGGAGTAGTGTGGACTTATACTTGAGGGAGAGTGTTAAGAATAATAAGTTAAGTGTGAGTTGGAGTCGCACATTGATTATAAATATAGAGACTTGAGCATTTATAAGTGGGAGAATCCACCCACCTATCACTTTAAGATTTTGGTTGAGTATGTGATATCTCTCTAAGAACTAAACCAAACTATTTTAGTTTTCACTGTTCGTTTTGGTTTTAAATCAAACTAAAAATTCATTTTTTTCAATTTGATTTAGTTTAGATTATCGATTTAATCAATTTTTTTCGATTTTCTCATACTAACCCTAGTATATCGTTCATTTACGCCAATTTAACTTAATTAATACATATCGTTTAAATTTTACTTATTATAATAACAATATAGTAATAATTAATTAAAATATGATTAACTTAATTTTATTAAATATTAAGAATAATAAGTCCAACGTGAGTTGGAGTCTCATATTTGTTATAAATGTGGACACTTCAGCATTTATAAGTGAGAGAATCCATACACCTATCACCTTAAGATTTTAGGTGAGCATTTGGTGTCTCTCACTTGTGTTGCTCTTGACCCAATGTTAATGCTCCTCCTCGTGATCCAACAAATGGTATTACGAGCCTTTGGTTCGAGTAAAGAAACCGACTTACTTGTATTGAAATGCTTATGAAGAGATGACCCGTTGAAATCAAAATATTCGATAAGAGGTGTATCGAAATGTCCCCGTTGAAATCAAAATATTCGATAAGAGGTGTATCGAAATGTCCAAAAAAGAGGTGTTAACGGTGATACAAGTGTTTGTGTACAAAATGATTTTCACTTGAGGAGCATTGTTGACTCATATTTGAAGGAGAGTGTTAATAATAATAAATTAAATGTGAGTTGAAGATTTAAACATTTATAAGTGGGAGAACCCCCACATCTATCGCCTCAAAAATTTTAAAAATATTTTGAAGATTGGTCTGACATTTTAGAAACTTAGGACAAATATTAAAAATGACTCCTAATAAAAAATTGAACAATTAATTAAAAGATTTAATTATAAACAATACTAATATTATTACAAAATAAATTTGATAAGATATCTTTTTATAAAATTACCATGAATAATTTGAATTAAGTTTGTCTACCGTTTTTTTTAGTATTAGGAGAGTGGAATAAATAATTTAGCGTAAAAACTTAATAATAAATAATTTAGTCAAATAATGATTATAAAAAATGTATATTAAAAAATAAAAAACATTTAAGAGATAACACATAGGTAAATTGGTTTTAAAGGTCGAATTCGCAATCTGAGTATGAAGCAAAATTCACTTACTACTTGGCTGGAAAGATGACACATTATTATATTTTAGAATAAAATATAGATAATTAATTTTCATTTCTATTCATAAAGGCCTTAAGCCGGGTTGAAAGATGACCCTGAATATGTAATATATTTGTCACACATGTTGATCTTATTTCAATATTGATGCTTCTTGTCATAATTCAACAATTAATCCGACAATTATTTTAAGATGAATGAAGTATGAGTCATGAGATGACTTTTCACTTGCCAATTTGTTTGGTAATGTTTATAATTTGAAATGAATTAGTAGACGTATCCGATTATTAGCAAGAGAGAAAAAGAGAGAGAAGACGAACCCTAAATGGATATTGGAAAAGTAGGCGAGCTGAAAGAATTCATAGAAGCATGCAAGTCAAATCCTTGTCTTCTTCACACTCCTTCCCTTTCCTTCTTCAAATCTTATCTTCTCAGCTTGGGTGCCAACATCCCTCCACAACCCAAACAGGAACCTCTTGTTGTTCATCATCATCACATTATAGAATCTCATGTTGAATTCGATAACACCGACGTTGTTAAACCTGATGATGACCCTCCTCAAAAGGTATATCTATCTTTTTTTCCGTCTTCATTTTTACGAGTCAATCATTCTTAATTTATACAGATGGGAAATCCTTCTGCTCAAGTAACGGAACATCACAGAGATGCTGCTCAACTAGCAAAATCAAAAGCACTTGATGCTTTATCACAAGGCAATGCATTTCACTCTTTTTTTCCCTCCACTTACTAGTATCTTTCAATTTTCACATTATTTATTTTATTCTCCAGGCTATTTCGATCAAGCCCTAGATTTACTCACACAAGCCATTTTGTTGAATCCGCATTCAGCCATACTTTATGCCACCCGAGGTACTGTCTTATCAATTCATTTCACACCTTTATTCTCTGTTTTACTTTTACCTACTGCATCAATTTCTTATTTTCAGCTAGTGTGTTTATCAAGTTGAAGAAACCAAATGCTGCTATTCGTGATGCCGACGCTGCCTTGAAGGTTCCTTTGTTCCTACCTTGTTGCGCATGAAACACTTCATTCAAGAAATTTCTCTGTGATATCTATGTGTTTACTCATAGGTATATTATTTATTCTAGATTAATCCAGACTCAGGGAAAGGGTATAAAATACGGGGATTGTCAAGGGCTATGTTGGGACTCTGGAAAGAAGCACTCAGTGATCTTCACGTGGCTTCAAAGATAGACTACGACGAAGAGATTGGGGTGGCACTTAAAAAAGTATTTTCCTTGCTTTGTTCAGAGGAAGCTTGCAAATTAAAGAGTCCTTGTTCGTTTCTTTGTTTCTAATTATATTATATTTTTACAACACAGGTTGAGCCTAATGTTCACAAAATGGAGGAGCATAGGAGAAAATATGAACGCTTACGGAAGCAGAAGGAGCAGAAAAAAGCTCCACCAAAGAAGCAACCACAAGATGAAGCTCAAGTAAGTATAGTTCATAGCTCTATCAATTCCAAACAGAAACTCTCCATAATTACAAAAATATTGGTGTCGTACCCCTGTCCGTTACTTATAGCTATTTTCTGTGCGACATTTTAGGTCTTAGTTGGAGTTTTTTGCTTTTGTGAAATGGAATTTCAAAAGAAGCTGATAACTTCAGTTTATTTGGGCATTTTAGTCCTGTTCTAGTTTTCTTAATGTAGATTTCTCTAGACTACTATTATTAATGCTACTACTGCAATATTACAAAAATATATGTACACATTTTCTACAATTCATTCTTCAATTGTAGTTACCCAATTATATTAATAAGATGTCATAAAAGTGATGACAATGGGAAGTTGTTGGCTTCCTCTATATGCACATAAAAAACAAGGCTATCATTGATATTTTATTTCTGAAATTCCTCAATCATGACCTTTTTGCAGGATAAAGACGCATTGTCTGCTTTAAAAGATGGTATGCCCTTATATTTCCCTCTGCCTTATGGGATTGAAATTCCCAAAATCTTTTTGTTGAATTGCCTACCTCCGGTTAATGTGAAATATGTAATCCATAGTGTACCCTGATCTTTTTACTGCATCATGCTGTTCATGACACTAAAAAGCTGTCATAGAATAGAAGATTTAGTCTGAATATATGTCGTTATAATTCTCACCTGCCTCACAGCCTAACAAATTCATATGAATAATGACTACATCGACCTTGTTTAGGTCTGTGTTTGCCATTGTTTTTTTTTTTTGTTTTTTTTTTTGCATTTAGGGGTATCTCAGATTTTCAAGAATAGATAATGACTAGTGTTGAATCTTCTGGTTGGATTTGTAGGCATATATTAAATTAGACCATCAAATGTTCTATCGGTAGTTTCTAAAGAAAAATGACAGCCTTGCTCCACACATTTAATTCAACATTTATCAGCAATATATTCTCATGGTTGAAAGATGAAAGGTCTGATAAAATTAAGGGTTTTTTTTCCTTTGTTTGCTGCGTTATCGTAATGCGTACATATTGGCTTGAATTTTGATAAAGTACAAACAATACTTGGTTGTTGATTTGTTGAGTAGATTGCAAATTTGGAGATAGGATATAGGGAGGAAAGACACTATATTATATCGTCTGAAAATGTATTGCCAAATTAGCTGTAAGGTTACGTAACGAATAATCTTTAACAAATATCGAACACTGAACCCTCGAGAGTATTTTTTCAGCATGTTAATTGTGACATTTTACTTATATTCTTCAAAAATAAATACTGTTTATTTGTCTTTTGTTTTATTCTTCCTTTTTGCCTCATTATTTATCTTCCCATGTACTATTTTTGTTGTTGTTGACAAGTTGATCTATTAAGTTAAAAGGTATCTTTGAGATTATACTTTTGTGTGTAGCCATTACTTGGTATTCAAATTGAGACTTGGATGATTTATATCAATTAAATTAAATGACCTATTCCTTTGGTGGCATTTAAAAGGGAAAGTGATTGGTATTCACTCTATTGGTGAGCTGGAAACAAAGTTGAGTGCAGCATCAAAGACATCTCGCTTGGCAATCTTGTACTTTACTGCAACATGGTGTGGTCCTTGTCGCCATATTTCACCACTTTATACAAGCTTGGCTGAGAAGTATCGGAGAGTGGTTTTTTTAAAAGTTGATATAGATGAAGCAGTGGATGTTGCTGCACGCTGGAAGATTAGCAGCGTTCCAACATTTTTCTTTGTAAAAAATGGCAAAGAGGTCGACACTCTGGTGGGGGCTGACAAAAATACACTTGAAAGGAAGATTGCTCAACATGCCGGCCCTCTTTAAGTTCTTACCTTAGTACAACTCTGATGCTATATCATTTCCATGCTGTTTCTTCTGTTTACATGCCCATGGCATCTTACAAAATTGAGAGTTTCACGTATGTTTGATATTTCTTTTCGGGACTGGTTTAATGACTGTAACAATGGAAAAGTAAAGTATATATACTACGCATGAGATGGTTACTTATTTCTAGAGTTGTTGAATTATAATGTTTAGTTTCATTTGATTTTTTTTTGTTGTTATTTGGTCTTTATTTAGACGAGCGTCTTGTTCTTATGAAGTTTCATTCTGGTATGCGACTTAATAATGAGAAATTGGTTATAAAAAGGGTGGTTTTTATTTTAATAACTCGTTTCATCTGATCAGAGTGCTGGGGTTTCAATCCAGCTTTCAGTAACAACCTAATGTTTTCTTTCTTGTAAGAGAAATTTCCATAAGCGTAAGAACTGCCATGCCCTTTTTAAGGGCAGCAAACTCGTGATCTTCAACTGAATATAATGTGACAGCATGAATATGATAGTAATAATACAAGAAACAATGTGATCACTGTGACCTCAGTCTTTTAAGTAATAGGTTAACGAAATAAATTGGGGACAGTAAATGATTCATTTTCTTTCATTTTTGGAGTAGAATCTCAAAACCAAGTAGAAGAAGAACCTGTATAGGACTCCCCAAGCTAGTAGAATTAAGATGTCATACCATAGGTTTTCCATTGTAATATCCATTGTGGATAAAACATCTTCTCCTAATAAGCAGTTAAGGGGAAGACTGACATTGTGGTGTTTACTGGGCTTCACATCTCCTAAAGGTCCCGGGGATAAATCTGCTTTGTTTCCTGTATAGCAGCCGCGATCGTTCTTGAATTCATTTATCAACAATCCCTCAAATGGGTATTTGATTGCAGATATATAGTGGAGCCACTTCCAGTATTTAGGTATCTGAGTTCGCTTGAGGAAGAAACCGCAGGTCAAAAAGAAGAGTGCTGTTGTTGCAATGACTACTGCATAACCTGTGATGTAACTAGGCACAAGTGCGCTGACAAGCATCACGTACGCGTTGGTAGTAATAAGGGAGGCAAAAAGTATCATCCAGAAATTGAAGAGACTGCTTTTCAAGTGGAGCATTAATTTGGTTATGACAGCAAATGTGAGACCTTGAACGGCAAAAAATGGGAGGTAAACAATGAGGGAAGACATTACGTATGAAGAAGCACGGTAAGCATTGTGGGATGTTTCCCTGATGAAGATGAACCTTTCCATGATAAAAGACGGGACTGCATCATTGGAAGAAAAGAAAACAAGGCACACTGCAAAGATGTAGAAATTGAGGAGCCTATTGATGTCTTTGAAAGTAGTATCACCCAGGTTATTGAAAATGGTGGATAAGACAAGTGCCATAACAGTCAGCACAATCTCACGGGAGGCGAAGAGTTCTGGAGTTCGAATTACATTGAGTAGCGTTCGCCATGAGAGCACTACAACCTCACGCAACCATGGGTTTGCATACTTGGGTCCAAGATCCGGCTCATCAAGCACTTCCTCAATCTCAAACTCTTCATATGATGGCGCATATGATGTTGCAGAGTACTCCATAGACTGGCTAACATCCATCTGCGCTTTTTGGTGATAATAAGGCTCCTGATAAGATACAGAATGTTGGTTGGAAACAAAACTTCTTGGTCCTGACAAAGGTGTTTTCCCAGGTGTCCATCCCGGAGTTCTTGCCGGAGTCCATGATGGAGGGCGACGAGGGGTTCCTACTACACCATTGTAAATCCAGACAGAGAAATCTTTGGCTGAGAAATCTTGGTAGAATTGAGAAGCTAAACGTGGATAAACACCACTGGTCGGTATGTTCCTTGATGTTTTAACGCTTCTCCTTTCAAGGGAGTTATCAAAATTCTCGTCATCATCATCGTCCTCATCATCAAGACCGAACTGTGAAGAATCGGGTTGTGGTGTGCCAGCAGTAAATCCTTGGCTGCGCAGGCTAATCATGTGTTTCGATGCTGGGGTGTTCCTTCTGTAATGTGGAGGTTTTGGAACAGGGGTCATGGCTGCTAGGTCAGGCTTATGGCCATCATGTTGGTATTGGACAAGAGGGTCAAGTCCAACAGTTGCTTGGTCATATTCAGTTATAACATCTAGAAGATACTCAATACTGTTTTCTCCATCAGGTACAGGTCTTCCAAATCCGGATAGGTGAGTCTGAAGTGCATCTGGCCTTCCCATGTATATCAATCTTCCCCTATAAATACAGAAGCTAATATGGTCAAATATATATTCTTTTCATTTTTAAGTAAATAGATACAGTTACTCTTTGTGTCCAGCTGAGATCCATTCGACTTATAATCTTAACTGCGAGCTAAAAATCTCAGATTTTTTTTTCTATGTTTCTAGCATATATTCGTTTCTAACTCTATCATGTCGTAACTGTATTCAATGAATTTTTTTTTTGGGTTCTCTTGTGACGTAACTTTATAAATCAAATAACATTATATCGGGCTTTATCAGCTTTAAGAATACAGGTTTTGAAATTTTCACCTTGCGAGGACAGTGATCTTGTCGAGGAGCATTTGAATTCTAAATGAAGGCTGGTGTATGGTCATGAGGACAATGCTACCACCGTGAGCTATGTCTTTAATCTTTTCAACTACACTGTAAGCACTTGTAGAATCCAGACCCGAGGTAGGTTCGTCTAAAAACAGAAGCGATGGCTTATGAATGATCTCTATGCCGATTGATACCCTTCTTCTTTCCCCTCCCGACACCCCTCTCCTTCCTTCGTCGCCAATATAGGTATGTGTAGCACTCTGAAAGGTCATGAAGTCGTTAATCTGTCATTTTATGTCTGTAGGTAACTCAGAGAGAATCACAAAGTCTTATTATTATACCTGTAAGCCCAATTTGTCAAGAAGCTCGTGCACCCTTTTCTTTTTTTCGTCCCTGGAAATAGAAGGAGGAAGCCTAACTTCTGCGGCAAACATAAATGTTTCGAAAACGGTCAACATAGGGAAGAGCTGGTCATCTTGCATCACATAAGAGGACACCCTTTTCATGTAGCTTGTAGTTACCTGCACAATTAGAGTTTATATCGGATTAAAAGTATAAAAAAAAATCTATATCAGAATTGAGTGTAGCAAAACAACAGTGTTTACCGGTTTTCCATCAATTCTAACCGACCCTTCTAGACTCCCTTTAGCAATTCGACCGGCCAAAGCATCAAGAAAAGTAGATTTTCCAGCACCACTAGGCCCCATGATTGCCAAAATTTGACCTTTAACTGCCTGGCCAGAGATATCATGAAGAAGAAATGTTTCTTTGTTGATCCAAACCCCATCTTTTTTCTGCTTCTTTATGATACTGTATGAGAGGTTAGTGAATTCGAGTCCATAGCCAGGAATGGACTTCTGGGAATTCAGTTGGCTCCCATTTGCTGCTGTTCCTGGTTTATGGGAGTCCATTAGACTCTCAAGGCTTTTGTTTGTGCCATCCCTCTCTAGCCTCGCCATTACAGTATCAATCACTTTTGGCACTTGTTTGATTGCAGATATTAAGAGACTTTAAAGCACTAAAAAAGAGACAAAAATGTGATGGTTAAAATGAAGATATTTGAATAGCATGAACTCATGGAGTATAATAATAATATAGTATATAGTTTTGAAAGAGAAAGAAACCATCAGGCGGCAATCTTGTTGAAATACATTTTTGTTTCCTTTGGGTTTGTCGTTAGATTTGCTTTGAATCTACCGAAGAAAGATGTAGTTTTGTTTCACTTCAACTGTATCATATAGAGCTGGCATGGCAGCTACCACTCATGTTTGTCACCTTCTGCATGTATTTGTCACCAAACTCTAAATATGTTACTTAGAATTTCAAGCCTGTTTTTAAAAGCTATTTAAATCATCTTTTTTAAATTTTTTCTCTTTAATCTAAGAAACATGATTTCTTTTAATATGTCTACAGTCATTACATAAATAAAAAAGATTGTTTTTATTTTATTTTTATACTTATATTTTTTAAGGCTGAGTCTACTCATTAGAAACTTAACAACACGATGTAGAATAGAAGGGGGTAACACTATAATTTGAAAATTAAATCAACCAATAGATCATTCAGAAAATCATCATGAACAATAAGCATCAACATAATACTTGAAGTTGCTTTGCTCTTCTAAGATTTCCATTTTACTGTTTGTCTCAATTATTATTTTTATTGTTTATCGTTTTAGTAATTGAGTCTCTTATAAGCTAGATTTTTACACATTTTTTAGAATTACGTGCAATTTATTAAATCATATTTTCCGTCTAAACCGAACCGCTATTGAAAAATTCAGATATGCGTATATTAAAATTAATCGAAGATGTTGATAAGAAATTCAATCAATATGTTTTAATCACAATCACTTGAAAGCTACTCAACAAGTAATACTACTTCCAATGATAAATCACACAAAAATACTATTGAGACTAATTATCGAACACCTTATGTGCAATAAACTTTGTTTGGAAATTTGTATAGTTTTGTTAATCTTAAAATCCAACCACAATCTAAAGGATTGTGATCAACTCAACAAAACTTTTTTCAAATGGTTATCAAAAGAGTTTATCAAATGACTTAATCACACAAATGATGACCTCAACAATTTGCAAATGAGATGAAATGTGTGTGTGTGTGTGTGTGAGAGAGAGAGAGAGAGAGAGAGAGAGAGAGAGGATTTGTTTAGTAAGTTCCCCAATCGACCTTGCTATGAGAGAGAGAGAGTACATAAGGATTTGTTTAGGAAGTTCCCCAATCGACCTCACTATGGGTACGTTTGCCCTCAATTTGAACTCAAATTGAGATATGAAATTAAGTTTTACTTTGAAAAAGTAGTTTACAAGAGAAATGTAGCAATGGAACTCTACAAACTCTATGTTTGATGTGATCCTAACACTTTCTCTTCTCTTGATTTGAGCTTGATCAAGTCACCCAACAATACCAATTTGATTCACCGTCTCACAC